AGAGAGAGAGAGAGAGAGAGAGAGAGAGAGAGAGAGAGAGAGAGAGAGAGAGAGAGAGAGAGGAGGGAGGGAGGGAGGGAGAGAGAGGAGAGAGAGAGAGAGAGAGAGAGAGAGAGAGAGAGAGAGAGAGAGAGAGAGAGAGAGAGAGAGAGAGAGAGAGAGAGAGAGAGAGAGAGAGAGAGAGAGAGAGGGAGGGAGAGAGAGAGGGAGAGAGAGGGAGAGAGGGAGGGGGAGGGAGGGGGAGGGGGAGAGAGGGAGAGTGAGAGAGAAAGAGAGAAAGAGAGAAAGAGAGAGAGAGAGAGAGAGAGGGAAAGGGGGAAAGGGGAGAGGGAGAGAGAGAGAGAGAGAGAGAGAGAGAGAGAGAGAGAGAGAGAGAGAGAGAGAGAGAGAGAGAGAGAGAGAGAGAGAGAGAGGGAGAGAGAGAGAGAGAGAGAAATAGAGAGAGAGAAAGAGAGAGAGAGAAAGAGAGAGAGAGAAAGAGAGAGAGAGAGAGAGATGAAGAGAGAAAGAGATAAAAAGAGAGATTTATGCAATGATAATATAAACAATGACGCTGTAACTGATAAGAGTGGTATCAAATGTGATGGTAAGTGTCTTAGTATTTTAGTATCTTTAGTATCTTTTGAAGTATATCTTATTCACTTATCTGAGTCCATTTTTATTTCCAGTTACTCACTCCACCTTCCACGATAAGAGTTAAAAAAAAAACACATAACATTTTCCACAAAAAATACAGAACACTCTAAGTAATATACTTACAAAAACAAAAGCACACCATGAGTGCCTTCTCAACTTCAGTGCATTACCTCCCTCTTGGTTGATTTATGCCATAAATACCAAAGGTGGATTACATGCGAGAGGTAGGAAGGAAGAATTTGAAAAAAAAAACAACAACGCACACCCGGTGTAATATATAAGCACGGAGGACTGGCCTAAGAACCCACTGAGGACTGACTTAGGAACCTACTGAGGACTGACTTAGGAACCCACTGAGGACTGACTTAGGAACCCACTGAGGACTGACCTAAGAACCCACTGAGGACTGACTTAGGAACCCACTGAGGATTGACATAAGAACCCACTGAAACTGACTTAGGAACCCACTGAAACTGACTTAGGAACCCACTGAGGACTGACCTAAGAACCCACTGAAACTGACTTAGGAACCCACTGAGGACTGACCTAAGAACCCACTGAGGACTGACTTAGGAACCCACTGAGGACTGACCTAAGAACCCACTGAGGACTGACTTAGGAACCCACTGAAACTGACTTAGGAACCCACTGAGGACTGACTTAGGAACCCACTGAGGACTGACTTAGGAACCTACTGAGGACTGACTTAGGAACCCACTGAGAACTGACTTAGGAACCCACTGAGGACTGACCTAAGAACCCACTGAGGATTGACCTAAGAACCCACTGAAACTGACTTAGGAACCCACTGAGGACTGACTTAGGAACCCACTGAGGACTGACTTAGGAACCTACTGAGGACTGACTTAGGAACCCACTGAGGACTGACTTAGGAACCCACTGAGGACTGACTTAAGAACCCACTGAGGACTGACTTCGGAACCCACTGAGGACTGACTTAGGAACCCACTAAGGACTGACTTAACCCACTGAGGACTGACCTAAGAACCCACTGAGGACTGACTTAGGAACCTACTGAGGACTGACTTAGGAACCTACTGAGGACTGTCTTAAGAACCCACTGAGGACTGACCTAAGAACCCACTGAGGACTGACTTAGGAACCCACTGAGGACTGACTTAGGAACCCACTGAGGACTGACTTAAGAACCCACTGAGGACTGACTTAGGAACCCACTGAGGATTGACCTAAGAACCCACTGAAAACTGACTTAAGAACCTACTGAGGACTGTCTTGAGAACCCACTGAGGACTGACCTAAGAACCCACTAAGGACTGACTTAAGAACCCACTGAGGACTGACTTAGGAACCCACTGAGGACTGACTTAGGAACCCACTGAGGACTGACCTAAGAACCCACTGAGGACTGACTTAGGAACCTACTGAGGACTGTCTTAAGAACCCACTGAGGACTGACCTAAGAACCCACTGAGGACTGACTTAGGAACCCACTGAGGACTGACCTAAGAACCCACTGAGGACTGACTTAGGAACCCACTGAGGACTGACTTAAGAACCCACTGAGGACTGACTTAGGAACCCACTGAGGACTGACTTAGGAACCCACTGAGGACTGACCTAAGAACCTACTGAGGACTGACTTAGGAACCTACTGAGGACTGTCTTAAGAACCCACTGAGGACTGACCTAAGAACCCACTGAGGACTGACTTAGGAACCCACTGAGGACTGACTTAGGAACCCACTGAGGACTGACTTAGGAACCCACTGAGGACTGACTTAGGAACCCACTGAGGACTGACCTAAGAACCTACTGAGGACTGTCTTAAGAACCCACTGAGGACTGACCTAAGAACCCACTGAGGACTGACTTAGGAACCCACTGAGGACTGACTTAGGAACCCACTGAGGACTGACCTAAGAACCTACTGAGGACTGTCTTAAGAACCCACTGAGGACTGACCTAAGAACCCACTGAGGACTGACTTAGGAACCCACTGAGGACTGAATTTATTTCGGGGGAAAGATGGGGAGGAAATAAGGACGCTGGGAAGGAGAAAATAAAAGAAAGAAGGCAGAGAAAGGGAATGGAAAGAAAGAACGGAGAAGAGAGGATGAAAAGAAGAAATGAGGGAGGGAGGGAGAAGAGAAGAGAAGAGAAGACGGAGGGAACGAAGGAGAGAAGAGAGAAAATAGGAAACGAAAATGAGAAGAGAGGAAAAAAGCGAATGAAGGAGACAAGAGAAGAAATAAGAAACGAAGGAGAGAAGAGACGAAACAACAAATGAAGGAGAAAACAGAAGGAGGAAATGAAAGAAAGAACAGACAAAAAAAAAAAAAGAAACGAAAAAAAGAAGAGAAGAATACAAAGAAGGAAGGAAAGAACCAAAGGAAAGGAGGAAGAAGAAGATACGAGAAAAGGGACCAAGAAATATGAATGCATAACTGAAAGTCTCAGGTGTGGGGTGGCCCGGGGGGGGGGGAAGAGGAGGAGGAAATGGATCAGAAATGATGAAGCTCCGATGGGGAGTGATTTCGAGGCGAGGGGAGGGGGGCGAGGGGAGGCGAGGAGGGGAATATTAAGGCAGGAGAAAGGCAGGGGGGGGGGTGAATAGGAGGGGAAGGCTGAATGAAGGGAGAGAAAAAGGGGGGTGGGGGGGGGGCAGGAGGAGAATGAAAGGAGATAGAAGGAGGTAGGAGGAGGAGGGGGAGGAGGGGAATGATTAAGACAGAAGAAAGGGAGAGGTAGGAGGGAAAGTATGAAGGGAGGAAGGGGAAAATATTAAAGTAGGAGAAAGGGAGAGGGAGGGATAGGAAGGGAAGCCTGAATGAAGGGAGAGAAAGGGGGGGGTAGGAGGGGAATCATGAAGGGAGGAGGGGGAAATATTAAGGTAGGAGAAAGGGAGAGGGAGGGATAGGAAGGGAAGCCTGAATGAAGGGAGAGAAAGGGAGGATAGGAGGGAAATATTAAGGTAGGAGAAAGGGAGAGGGAGGGGATAGGAGAGGAAGCCTGAATGAAGGGAGAGAAGGGGGGGGGACAAGGGGGAAATGGGAGAAATGGACGGAGGAATAGGAGGGGAAGTATTAAGGATGGGAAGGAAGGCAGGGGGGAGGGGACGAGGGGACCCAAGGAAGGGGACGGTTAAAGCAGGAGAAAGGGGAGAGGATAGGAGTGGAATAATGAAGGGAGGAAGAGGGGAAATAGGGGGGGGGGCATGAAGGAAGAAGGGGGGGGAGGAGGGAGAGGAATCATTAAATAAGAGGGGAAGCAAGGAAGTCATTAAAGCAGGAGAAAGAGGAAATGGAGGAGGGGAGAAAGGAAGGCAGGTAGAGGAAGGGGAAGGAGGAGGAACAAAAGTGGAAGAAAAAAGGGAGAAGCAAGGGCATTAAGAAAGCAGGGAGATAGGAGGAAAGGAAGATAATCGTGGAGGACAGGAGAGGGAACCAGGGAGGGGAAAAGGGAAATCAAGAAGGGAAGAGAAATGGAGAAACACGAAAGAAGAGAAAGGGGAGGAAAGAAAGAAGGGAGGGAAGGAGGAGGAACAAGCAAGAAGAGAAAGGGAAGGAAGGAAAACAAGAAAGAAGGAAGCAAGCAAGGGGCGTGAGAGGGAATTGATGAAGGCAGGGAGAGGGGAAGGCAGAAAGGTAAGATAAAGGGAGGGAGACAGAAAGAAGAGGAGAAAGAAGAGAGGAAAATCAAACAGGGAAATTAAAGGAAGACAGAACCAGAAAAAAAAATCACGAAGAAAGGAACAGAGGAGGAGAGGAAGAAAACCACAAAGCAAGGGAGAGGGAGAGATAGAAAACCCGAAGGAGGGAGTCAGGGAGGGAGAGAACGTTCTCGAAAAGGAAGCAGAACCGCCAGAGGAGAGCAGGACCGAATGAGAGGATTTGGGAGAAGGAAACACGGCGTCAGCAGACTGAAACTGCGGCAGTTTGGATGATGAAATTTCACCTGAGGGATTCTTTCTCCTAATAATGCAGACGCACACAATCCACTGGTTTAGATATACACTATATATATATATATATATATATATATATATATATATATATATATATATATATATATATATATATATATATATATATATATATATATATTTTTTTTTTTTTTTTTTTTTTTTTTTTTTTTTTTTTTTTTTTCAACAGCCATTAATTCCACTGCAGGACATAGGCCTCTCTCAATTCAGTTGAGAGGTTATATGGCGGTGTCACCGTTGCCTGATTGAATGCCCTTCCTAATCAACCGCAGTTCGGCGCTTTAACACTTTTGCCACGGCGGTGGCTTCCCCTACGACACCTGCGTTTGACTTC